TTTCTATAGTTAGTATGCACATTTGTTTTCAAGATGTAATAAAGTTGTTCCCTTTTATAATAATAATATTTTTTCCTTTTATCTTTTCACATATTTGAAATAACATTTTTTTCCGTATATATAAATAATTTAACCAACAATGTATTTTTTTCATATATAAATATTATTTTGTTTTGACATTACTTATATGTTTGAATCTACATACAAATATTTTAATCAATAATGTATTTTTTCTCGTAAGTAAATATTATTTTATTCAATGACAAACACTTTTACTTATATTTTATAATTTACTTTAATTGAAAATGTATGATTAATTATTATTATTCTCTTAAAACATATTGTATTTTAAATTAAAAATAATATCAAATTAAAAATGATATTAACAAAAATAATTAAAAAACAACACATTTATTAGGAGGTGTGGAGAAAAAAATAGGAAAAAATATATAATATTGTATGTTTTATCAATAACATCATATAAATAATCATTTAGAACACACGGTAAAAAAATGAATAATAAAATAATAATAAATTTTTTATAGTATTAATATTTTAAAAGGATTTTTAGAAAAAATAAGAATATTGTTGTATATAGAAGATAAAAAGACATATTTAATTCTACCATTAAATATTATTAAATTATAAACTAAAATTAAAAAACAATTATTTAATATATAGAAATAATTTGAACACCATCATAACTCATAAGCTCCATCAAAAAAACTCGTCAAAAGTATACAAAAATACACAAATGATGTTAATAGTTGAGGAATATTTAAAAATCAGTCCTGAATTTGAAATTAAATTATTTTTCTTAACTTGTGTAGAAAATGATATAGGTGTTTAATAAAAGGTAGAAATATCAAATTTTCAAATAATGTACATAATTACACATACACATCAAGAAAATTGAGCTAAATATACAAATACAAATACTAATATTTTAACAAACTTTTGAAGATGAATCAATATGTGCACTTAATGTGGAGAGGATTTCTCACAAAAACACAATATAAAAATAAAATTATTGGTATTGGACATATTTGGTTTGTTTGAAACTCTAGTCACCTAAGTTAAATAACATTGAGTCCCTATGCATAGTCTATTGGACAAGATGTGTGCAATTGGTATTGTTGTTCCTCTACTTTTGATTATTGTTAGTTTTCTAAGACCATAGCTCAACATTATCAACTGTTGTCCATTCATTTCATAGCAAGATGCCCAGAACATAAACTCATTCACTTCAATTTTTAATACTTAAAAAAGTGTTATTATATTATGTGTACATATATTTAACATAAAAAATGAAACTTTGTTAATATTCCCATAACTCTTATACTCAACCACATAACACTTCCATCAAGAAACAAAGAAGTCCATAACCAATATTAGTAGTATTAAAATATAATCTAGTTTAGCTTAGTTAAAACTAATAATCACTATAGAAGACAAATGATGTCCTACAGAGACCGAAACATTCAATAGATGAAACAAAGTTTTAATAAAAAATAACCTTGTTCTCTTCATGTGTTCAAAATGGATCATAAACAGAAAAGAACAATCACATTATTACATAAATAATATAAAAAAATAGGATAAATATATAACACAAAGGTACTAACAAAGATCAACAGATAGTTACAACTGAAACATCCAAAGAGCACATATAAGACTGTATAGAAAAACAAAGAGAATATTAAAATAATATGTACCCCTATGCTCATAATCCATTATGAATCATTGGCACCATAAATACCACATTTTGCTCCCAAAAAACCAGCAATACACATATTTAGCCGTCATTCACACAATGCAAGAAAAGATATTGATATGTATAAGACAAATGATATCACAATCCTTCATGATCAAGATATTCATGAAGATTTCAAAGTGTTAATAGCAAAAATATCATGTCAAAGAGAAATTATTTGTTCATTGCAACTCTAGTAGCGACATAATGTTCATAATACCATCTAAAAGATTTTCTCAATCTCTTATCTCGATTCTTGAAAAATAAACACAAAAATAATAAATTAAAATTAAATGAGAGATTTTGAAGAGAGAAATCCAAGTAAAGAATGTTGGTGATTTTAGTATCATCAATGTATTTTAGTAGTAATGTGATTTACTGTAAGGCGATGCAATTATACGTTAAGCTTGGAAACGAGTTAGGGTAGTGCGAAGTGCACGCTCGTTGAGCCAACGTGCAATTGAATGCGAATAATTGAAAAGGGGTTCCAAGGGGCGGAGCCCCTGGCGGGGTGCGGGGCAGCTCCCCGTGGGGTTCCAAAGGGCAGAGCCCCTGACTGGGGTGCGGGCCAGTGCCCCGAGCAAAAATTTTCTGAAAGTTTTCTGTTAAGTTTTGAACCTGTTCAAAATTTTTGAACAGATGTCCCTTTTCGTTTTCTGTTATTTAATATCATATATAAGGAGTCATTTGGCCTCAGTTTTACACACTGAACAAAATTCATATTTCTCTCCACATTCTTGATCTGTTTTCTATTGCCAGAAGCAGATTGTTCTTCAAAGAATTATCTCCACAAAGATTTCGTGAACCCAGGCAAATAATAGGGTCGAAATACTTTGTTCGAAAAGTGTACGAACACGATTACTCGAAGATATCCAAGATTATCACACCAAATTTCTAACAAAGAACCGTAAAAAAAACATAGAGCAAAAACTCAGTGTACCAATACCCCCAACATCAGATAAAGTAATCAAATATAAACTAAGTTGTTATACTTTTTTTTTCTTTCTAAAATCAATAAAAACTCAAAAGGAATAAAAGTATAACATAAAAGTAGATCAAAAAGAGACTTACACCACGGTCAGATACCAAAGATCTTTAACCAATATCAAATTTGTTTCTAGTTTCTAAACAAAACACGAAAATTAAATCATAACTAGAATCAATAAAACAAACAACAATAAACATGAAAATGAAAAATAAAAAATATATAAAAATATTGACATTATAGCAAACTTTTATGAATTCAAATGTTTCCAAAATTTTGTAAAATCTACTTCCAAAATAAAAAATTATATAAACAAATTCTTTATTCTTATCCATTAGTACATGCTTTTGTAGTTCTTAGATTTTTCACCCTCTTCCAATCATTTTTATTTTCAAAATAAGATCACCTAAAAAAACAAAATATTTTATTTATGTTTATAAACAAAGTATGGAAAATACTATAAATAAACCAATGGATCTTGTAATGTGCTTAAAACACAAATTTCTGCACAAAATTAAGAAGATGATAAAGTAAAAAGAAATTTATAAAAAAATTAAATAAAAGGGTATTTAAAATAAATGACAAAAATAAAAAATCAAATAAAAGAGTATTCAAAGTAAATGATAAAGACATAAATTGAAATCTGTCTTACTAGTTGAAGAAGAAATGTTGAAGACCAAATGAAAATGGTTGGAATAACAAAAAGAATTAAAGTTTGAAAATCTAAAAAAAAATGAAAATTTCCAAATCTGCTTTTTTTTCATACCTACTTTCTCCCGATATACTTTTATCAAGATATGCAAAACTATTTTTTTAATATTGTGATTCCAGAGTCATTTGAAAGAGATGAGAATGTCGAAGAAGACAGTCAAGAGAGATTTGAAAGCAGAAATTCTGTTGAAAAAGATAAAAATAGTGGAAGAAGCCATTGACAAATAGTTTTTTCTCAAGAATAGTTCTTGTATTTATTTGCAAAAATCAAATATATGAAAACTTAGTTGCGTTTTCTTTATGAAATAAGTAACATGACATAGAAAACTTTAAGACAATACAAAACAAATACAAATTGAATTGCAACCAAAAGATCAATTTAGTTACATAAAACATAAGTAAGACATAATTTGCCATTAAAATGGCGTGACGGATAAACATGACACCAATATCTATTTTAAAAATTGTAAACCGATAAATTTTGATTCGATCTCTACCTTAAAGACGTATGAATAATAAATATCATTTTTATCTTTTATATCTAATATTTACTATCTTTTACCTAATAATAAATCACATTTGAATAAAATTTCAAGTCCGGCATGAAGTTCCTACCTGGCTGTTTGTTTATAAAACCGTAGTCTCATTTTCATGAGATTTTGTCCCAAATTTCGCGTTTTATTTGTTGCTCACTCTCACTCCAAACCTCACTCTCACTCTAAACCTCACTGTCGCTTGCTCCGGCAGCGCGTGACACTCAACCGCCTCTTCTCTTCAGACATTCCTTCAGCCGATCCTCCTTCCAACACCGGTGATTTTTTCTACTCTTGCTAATTTTCACTTCTCTCACTCTTTCTTTAAGCTGTTGTACGATTTCGCTTTGTATTTTGTTCTGTGTTTTCCATTACCTGCATTGCTTCTTGGATCATGATTCTTAGGTCAAAACTGGTGCGGTGTGTGTCTTTTGTATGCTCGTACTCTTTTCTGCTCCGAAAATAAAATAAAGAAAGGAAAATGTTGAGAAGTATGGAATGAAATGAGGTTTTTCCGTTGCTTTCTTGTTTGTGTTCGGTTCGTTTCCTGCTATGATCTTTGGCATGTTTTACTATGAGTTTTCTTGTTGGTGTTGTTGTTGTAGATTTTGTCTCTTTGTTATGCACTGAAATCAAAGACATTCTCCTGCATTTGATCGTGTGGAAACCCTTGCTTGTTGTAGTGTACATTGTGTTGGACTCTATATAGCATTGTATTGAGATTCCACCATAGATGTTATCTTTTTCTTTCTTATTTTTCTGTTTTTCTGTACAAGTTTGTAACATAGTGCCGGTTGTGTTTTTATTTGATCGAATGAATGTTTTCTATGGGGGTTATACTTGCTTCTGTAGGTTAAAATGTGCCGATTTGCCGTTTTTTTTTGTTTCAACTGATGAATTATATTAAATGATATTTTGTCATGCTCCTTCTGCGGCTCTGCGCTATGATTCTTTAATCATTTCACCCTTGTATTAATGATTGACTGACAGAAGTTATGATCCAAAACAGGTCACAGAGATGAGTTCCAGAAGAGGAGGTGGGAGGCCTGTGGCCAGCAATGATGAATTTTCGTCCAAGGGGAAAGGTGTATCACAATCTGATCCCAACTTTGAGCAGCTGACTCAAGGTATTGCTGATGTTAGCCTAGGCTCAGGACAAGATGATGACGGACAATGGGAGGTTTATGGGAAGAAATCCAAGAACAGAGGTGGAAATAATGCTGCAAAACAACGGGGTCCTCCAGGTCCAGCCTATACTTCTAATCCTAGAGGACAGGGATATGCAGATGTAGCTCAAAGGCCAGGCACACGTAATCCCGGTGGAGCTGGAAGAGGTGCTGGAAACCAAGGGCAGACACAATATGCTCATATGAGACCTGCTGGTAGAGGTAATGCAAGGCCTCTTTCAGCAGCAGGTGGTTATGGATACAATCCGACTTCTAATCCAATCACTCGTCCTCCTCTGGAACATGGCTGGAGCTGGAAATCTAGAGCTGGTGGAATGCAGAAAAATGCAATGACTGAAATGGCACTACAGGAGTTTGAACAGAATAAGGATGAGGATGAGGATGATGATGAGGAGGAGGGAGACGATGACTGCGATGATCTGGAAGATACTGATGATGATCTAATGAGCGATGAATATGATTCGGATGCCAGTCAAAAGAGCCATGAGACACGAAAGAAGAGCAAATGGTTCAGAAAATTCTTTGAGAATTTGGATAAACTGACGATTGAACAGATAAATGAACCAGAAAGACAGTGGCACTGTCCAGCTTGTCAAGGTGGTCCTGGTGCTATTGATTGGTACAGAGGACTGCAGCCCCTTATGAATCATGCTAAGACAAAGGGTTCAAAAAGGGTGAAGGTTCACAGGGAGCTTGCTGTACTTCTTGACGAGGAATTGCGTAGAAGGGGCACTACTGTAGTTCCAGCTGGGGAAGCATTTGGAAAATGGAAAGGTTTGAAAGAAGTAGAGAAAGATCATGAAATAGTTTGGCCTCCGATGGTCATCATTCAGAATACTAAGCTTGAGCAAGATGATAATGAGAAGGTATAGCTATATTTCTGTACACATCATATGCTGAATGATGAATAAACTAGCAATATCATATTTATTATTTTGTCATCTTGTATTAATAGTGTAAAACCATTCACAATTGTACGATAACATTTCTAGATTTTGTGCTCTTTGTACAGTGGTTAGGCATGGGCAACCAAGAGCTTCTTGATTATTTTAGCTCTTATGCTGCTGTGAGAGCAAGACACTCATATGGCCCTCAAGGTCATCGAGGGATGAGTGTTTTGATATTTGAAACCTCAGCTAGTGGTTATCTAGAGGCAGAACGTCTGCACAAACATTTTGCTGAGCAAGGAACGGATAAAGAGACTTGGTTTAGTAATCGCCGGATTTTGTTTCTCCCTGGAGGTAATCGACAGCTCTATGGATACTTAGCTACTACAGAAGACTTGGAGTTTTTCAACAGGCATTGCCAAGGTTCATTCTCTTCAGTTATTTTTTCTCTATATACTTTCATTGTGTAGATTGTTTGATGTCTGCCAGATTTGGGTCAACCAAGCCAGAATGATGTAAGTAAAGTATATACTACCATGTTCTTATCTCTTTTCATCTGACTCTGTAGGTAAAACTAGACTAAAGTATGAACTGAAATCATATCAAGAGATGGTTGTAAACCAAATTCGTCAGATGAGCGAGGACAACCAGCAGCTCAACTATTTCAAGAACAAGATGGTCAAAGAAAAGAAACACTCGAAAGCTATGGAAGAATCCTTTGGTTTTGTAACTGAGAAGCTGCGGAAAACTATGGAAGAAAATCGCATTGTGAGGCGGAGAACTAAACTGCAGCATGAGGAGATTAAAGAAGAGGTAATACTGACTTCAGACACATTACTTGGTGCATATTTGGTTTACTTTTTATTACTTAATTTATTCCTAGTATATAATTTTTTTGGACCATCAAGTTGAGTTTGGATATGCTTCTGCTTGGATGTCTTGTTGAAATGTTTTTGCTGTTATTTATGTTTTTGTAGTTCAAGAAAATGGATAAGCTAAAAAAAATATTGTCACATTCTCATTCTCTTATGTGAGACAGTTTTGCATATAAAAATGTGATTTATGTGTCCGTTAAACTCACTCTGTCCTTTCAAAGTAAACTAGCTAGGAATACAAGATAGAAATACAATTACTTCCACAGTTGAGGGTGCAGCATCTTTTGCCCTATTCTTAAAACTAAACACATCAATGAGAAATGGTAATAAATTAGCACCAGCCCATAATGTTTGGATATTTATCCAGACTTGATGTTTTACTTTGCTTTAAAATGAAAGCTTTGGAAAAATTTGGATTTGGGGGTTGTGTACTTATATTTTGTTGTAAAAGTTTGATGCATAGTATCAATAAACCAGTTTTCCAGAATTGTCATAAGTCTGATGCTTTCATTTTGTCGTAAAAGTTTGATGCATAGTATCAATAAACCAGTTTTCCTGAATTGTTATAAGTCTGATGCTTACATTTTGTTGTAAAAGTTAGTTTGATGCATAGTATCAATAAACCAGTTTTCCAGAATTGTTATAAGTCTGATGCTTACTAAAACCTATTTTTATCTGCTTTCTCCTCTTAAAGAATCAGAATTGTTATTTGTTAATTTTCTACACTTGGATGACTAACCTCATTCTCCCTAATGGTTTTCTTGTCATAAATTCCATCTAGTTTTTTATATGTTTCTTACCGTTGTTACTTTTTCTCACCATTGTCCCTGTTGATTAAAGATGTACGCACAAGAACAATTCTTCAAGGAACAGATTACTAGCATCCATGATTCAAGGAATGAAAAAGAAGAAGACTTTGAAAGGATGCAGCAAGAGGAACGTGAGAAAGTTAAGCAGTCAAGTACCAGTCCTCTAAATGCAGAGGAACGTCGACTCAAGTAAGAAATTTTCTTTCTTTGAGACTGTTTTCTATCCATATATCAAGCTTAGCACATGACACTAATTTTGTTTTATTTCAATGACTGACCGATGAATTTAATCTCATTGAATGTAGGGTGGAGGGATATGTTAAGTTTGTTGAATTCCAGGAGAAGGAGATGGAGAACTTTGTTGAAGAAAAGGAAAAGCTCTTCCAAGCCCACGAGGAGAGCATTGCTGCTATGAGGAGGAGACACTGGGAGGAGGAGGTGGAGATGGAGAAGAAGTTTGATGAAGACTTAACCAAACTCATGGAGAAGTATTCCCCATCTCAGCAGTAGGAAAAGTGCAATGGCTCTGACAGTGGCGGCATGCAAATATAAACACAGGGAATAGAAAGACAGTCAATAGTTGGTCAAACATTTAACTTTTTAGAAATTTGAGAATTTGGATTGCTGTTTTAGACATGAAGTGTAGTGCTCCTTGACATTCACTTAAGACATTTGAATTTGATTGACCATTTTTACAAATTGGGAGTTGTATGCTGCTATTAGATGTTTCGTAGCAGCTGATTTTTACAGGAAATGTTTGCAGTGGAGTGCAATTGGGTATATATCTGATGCTTTAGTGTCTCGTCTGCAGTGGAGCTTCATATGAATATGTAGCTCCAATTCAACCATGGTAATGGAGAAGTAAGTGCTAGTTAACGAGTTGCTGAATATGGTCTGTTAGCTTAGGAGATTTATATCTTGGGAAAGCTCCTTATGAACATCCAAAATTGACCATTTGATTACGGAAATGCATCTCATTCAAAAACACGCTCCAACTGAGGACCATCTCTTATTTTTTTCTCAATTTATTCTTGAGAAGCTTTTTTTTTTGGAACAACACCATGTACACCCGCATACATTCCTTAGTGAAATGTTTTTTTTTTTTATACGATTGTTTTGGAGATATATCTCCGTATTTATATCAGACATAATCTGGAGATGCGTCTCTAGAATTATACCATAGGGTAATTTTTAACTTTAATTTAGAGATGTTTTTGATGAATTTGACCATATATTATTGCAATAATATCATTTTTAATTTTGTATAAATTAAACCACACTTTCAAAATAATATGAAAATAACGTATATAACGGACTCGGGCCCCTTGTTTTTACGCTGACTCATGTATTATAGTGCCTCCCATCTTAGCATCTAGAACGTCCATCACTTTAGAGTCATTTGAAAAGAGTCCTCGATATATACTCGTCTGTCAATTTCCATGATATGACGACATCTAAGCAACACATCAATAACATGATATTTTCTAGCACGCTCATCCTCTAATATCTCATGATGAGCTGACCTAGGTGAATCTCCCAGAGCATCTGATACCATATAAGGATGTGACATCCTGAAATACCATCGGATGTGGCTGTGTACAACACTCTAGTCGCTAGGAGATATGATATTTTGTGCCAACACTCTAGTCGCTAGGAGATATGATATTTTGTGCATTATACGATACCATGTGAAAAGAATGATCATCAAACATGGTATCTATATCTATACGTGTTATATACCTGTAGGAGCAATCTCATTAAGGTCTCTGAGAATAAATTACACGTAGCCGAACTGCCTCATGACCCGCTAAGGTAGATGAGGATACGTTAAACATGAGCCGTAAGTCAACCATCAAGAGTAGAATGCAATGTCTTCCAACGAACGTGTCTCACGGTGATTGACATACATATGGTAATGTATATCTTATGCTAACATGCGGTTAATTATACATTTTGTATGACTTCGTCGCCAAATTTCCTCTAAGCGGGACGAATGCAGAAGCACTTGACATTTACTCCGTATAGGTCGACATAGATGACCATTCAGATATACGTGAGAAGTGCTGAAGGATTCAAGCTTGAAATGGTACATATGAATCAATAGGAAAAGATGCAGAAATGGGTGTAGCAAAAGTGTTATGAAAATGACACACAAACACTAAATGATGCAGAAATATTACCATCAACAGTGTGATGCTTCCTGTCACATGTTTGGTCTTTTACATACAGTTTTCGACTAGTTTGGAATACATACAAACTAAACAAGCACCTCCCCAATTGTGCTCATGGATACGCTCCAAGCCATCGAAGTACCGCAGGTCAATCACATCCACATAAGTGGCACTCTTGTCCACAAAATGGATGCGCTAACCAAATACAACATGTATGCTCTCAGAGCATATGCTCTATGCTGCACAACTTGCTCATCATCACCAACAGCATACTCTGCATTTGCAACTGCTGTGTATACAACTTCTTTAGAAATCAAAACCTAGCATTAACCCTTTGGGCCTCCTCTAGGTCAACTCTCAAATAGTCTACCATCATCTTCAATGCCTTATCTATGTTAATCTTATCGTGGTGTAACAGTCTCCCCCTGATTAGAAGATGCAGCAGGCACAAGACGTCGACCATTGTGATACACATTTCACCACATGGACGATGAAACAACGACGTCTCCGAGTGCCATATCTCTATAAACGTGGACATCATACCATGGTTAAGAGTAACATAATCGAGTTTGCACAAGTTTCTCAGTCCAGATAGTTGCATCACATTCTGAAACCACTGCTTATTATGCTGCTGTAGACCCGTAATCTTCTGACCATGATTGATGAATTTTAAAGCATCACGATCATACAGAAAAATAAATCATCGTCAGACATGTCTTTCAAAGAATATTTCGAATATTATAACAAACATGATTTTCAAAGAATGAATACAATTGAAACTTACCTTTCAGTCTCAGAAATGTCTGACAAAATGGTCCAGGTATAGAGCCAACAACAATAAGTCGGACTGGCCTCCTCTAAACTTATACGGGGCCTCGGGTGCCTGATATGCCTCAGGAGCCTCGGGTGCTCCAGGTACCTGAATAGGTGACATCTGTATCCTACGGAAAGACGGAGACAGAGATGCACGATCCCTAGAAGTTGACGTCTCCGCATCAAATGGGCTAGAAACGACATGTGTCTGCGATGATCGATATTTTTTCCTCCGAACCGGCACATGCTGCGCAACTCTGTTGTGCCTCATTCTATCGAGTTATCAGCCATAATTCCTATAAATACATCACATAATTATTATACATATGAAACACAATGAGGTCACGTCAAAAAATTGAGAAAGTTTCAGAGATGCATCTCCATAAGATTCTGCAACTCAGAGGAACGTTAATGGCAGAAATGTAGTTAAACATCTAAAATAATGCATTGATCATTAAAATTACCTATCAAACGCATTGCTCATGTAAATAACATATCTAAACTACCTATTATATAACCTAATGCTCATTTTTTAAAATTGTATATAGAAATAAAAAAAGTTTAGAAAAATCAAAAACTTACCAAATATAAGTTTATTTTGATGTTGAGTTAGCTCTTTGATCGATTGAATGTTGATGATAAAAGATTTGAAGTGAGTTGAATGAATTTCAAAGAAGTAAGCTACACAGAGAAACATTTCCGTAATTTATTTACATAGCTTTAGGACCTAAGGTGCCTTAAGCAATTCCCTATATATTTTAAAATGATATATATATATATATATATATATATATATATATATATATATATATATATATATATATATATATATATATATATATATATATATATATATATATATATATATATATATATATATATATATATATATATATATATATATATATATATATATATATATATATATATATATATATATATATATATATATATATATATATATATATATATATATATATATATATATATATATATATATATATATATATATATATATATATATATATATATATATATATATATATATATATATATATATATATATATATATATATATATATAAACCTACTCACTATATTTCTTCAATCCAAAGACAGTATATATATTTTTTATAATTCAATGAATAAAAAAGTGAATTGAGAAGCATAATTTAATAAATAAAAAAGTGAATTGAGAAACTTACATATGATATTTAGTACACACTTGATAATGATACAATAAAATATCTATTTTATTTAAATAGCAAAATTATCACTGTGAAACAATTACGCGTTTAATTTTTGTTCAAAATTATTTGTAATATTTGAATTTTATAAGTTAAAAGAAATGAAAAATACTCATTAATTCTATTAAAATTGTCATACAAATATTATCAAACCGTATACAAAAGTAAAGTTTATCATAGCAGGGACTTAAAAAATGCAAGACGGTCAAAATCAGAAATGATGTGGTAAAAAAGATATTTTGTTCGTTTCGAAAATAGAATTTTACACTAGAGACATGAATGAATAATAAATAGATGAAAGATAAATATAGGTTGAAGAAAAAAAGTATTAGGAGGTACAACACATCAGCATCAAAGATTGAAGAATGTGACATGTTTGAATGTAAAAATTGTTTTGGAAGCTTGTTGAAGAAGATTAGGGACAATTAAGTTGGCTTGTTTGGACAAGGACATGTGTAAAACAAGCAACCTCTCTTTATTTACTATAAATAGTTAGAATAAAGCTACAATTATAGAGTTCATTTCTTTTGCTTTGCCTGGCCAAAAAATGCAAACATCATTTCTTTTAGAATTTAAAATATTCTAGACATTGCACATGAAGTATATACCTAAATTTTAATAATATAACATCTTTACAACTCTACTTAGTTTTGCTTTGTATTTGCACTCCGAATTTTATTCATATATCATTAGACCTCTATTTATTCAAATTTCTTATGCTAGTACCTTACTCGTAAATAAAATTTTAAAAATTTGAACAATAAATCTATCAAATTATTGAACCGAGAATAATATTGTTTGGTTAAGAATTAGAAACGAAAGGTAAAGTAACGAAATTATCTTGTTATATCGAAATTGTGTTTTGTTACAGTGGATTTATACTTTCGATGCAATTGAGACGAGACTGATCTATAAGGTTAAAACTCTAACGGTCAAGTTAGTGAAAGATATCAGAAGTAATGTATGACTGGAAATGAATTTAAATATCTGAAATCACACACGCTTTACCCTTATATACTAAGAGTGATTGAGACGGCTCGCATGTGATGTGGCGTGTTGTGCGGACTATTGTAATATTAGATCGGACAATAATTGATGTGCAGAAGGGAGGAATTGCTCGTTTAAGGTGATAATGAAGGTCTACCTGTTCTGCATGCTTTTTATTTGGGGTTTGATCTTGGTCATCTCTCTATGGGCCTTGCGGACGACCCATGATAGTTGCTCTTAAGCCCTTGATCTATATGTGAAACGAGAGTTTGCAATGATACTTTAACAGAAGT